CGTAATTTTTATATTTAAGTTATTATATTATGATTCAAGTTTTGATATATTGGGATGTATATTTAAATATTAGATGACTAGTATTTTGTGAGTACCATTCGAATTATGATACTGAAAAAATTGGGATTTGATTATAAATTTGGGTGAATTTTAATGTTAAGGTCAAATACATAATAATGTGTGTAGTGTTAGTTCCGAAACCTTATTTTGAATATATACTTGAATAGATTGCATCGATTCGGAAGCTCGACTGAAAGGGAAGGCTCAAATCCCAGAGTGATTATTCGATTGACTTACAAGTAGATTTTTAAGCCCTTGGTAAGCGTATGAAATTCATGTATTTTCTTGTGTTATGTTTGAGAATGATTTTGACTTGTTGCTTATTTTTTGATGCCGGATTATGGTTGCATTATTGTGAAATGTGTCTTTTTATCAAAATGGTAATTTTCTCATTATTGGTTTGAACATGTCATTTGCATTAGTTCTGAAACGTGATTGTGATAAGTGTTATGTGATAAGAGGATGTACCATTTCGAGAATCGTATCACGCGTCGCGATGGATATTATATTTCGAGGAATGCATCACGTGCTGCAATGGTTACTATTATCGAGGATCGTATCGCACCCCACGATGGATGCATGGATAGATATGTCCCCCATGGGTCCCAGACTGAGAGACATCGGATGTGTATCATTAGGTCATACATGTATTATTTTATTTGAAATTGCATTGCATGACATTGCACATTTTGAACATTGGTGAACTTGAAGTTGTGTTTTGCTGATCTTGTGAGTGTTTTTTGTGAAACTTGTGACTGACAAATATTGAGTTGTTATTAAGAGTTGTAACATGTTAGAGTGCTGTTATTGAGTTGTGTGCTTTGTGAACTGTGAACTGTTAGGTTGGGCTGGTTCTATGCAGGTTGTAGTGTGGAGGTTCGGATAGGGTGTAATGAATACTCGTATTTTGTTCTCTTATCTTGTATTTTACAAGTTTGCTTGTTGGGTACCGTGTGGTTGGATACTCACCCCTTGCTTGTACAAATTTTTGAGGTAGTTGTTTGTCCTCTCAGCGAACCTTCTTACTCCCGTTTATGATTTCATTTTTACTTGAAAGACAGCGTCATTTTAGACTTATTTTATTTCAATTCTAGTATATAAATTAGAGGTTTTTGCACATGATGACAACCAGGTCTTGGGAATTCAATTAAGTTGAATTGTTATTGGACTTTTGTTTTATTTTTGTACTTAATTAGGTGATTAAGTTTTAAGATGACTTATCTTGGTGGGATAAGACGTCACGCCCATCTTTAGGTCATGACAAAAAATAGATGTAATGTTACTCGTCTTATCCCGCGAAGACAAGTCAGACTAAACTCAACTATTACAAAAAAATGCAGAAATTTCATAATCAACTCAAAAGTACCCCAAAAATTTGATTGTCACGTGTATTAGTCTCTAAAGTATTACAATTGAATAGAAAAGTACAAGTCTGATAAGACATTGTTTGTAGAATAGAACACAATCATAATTAAGAAGAAGAAGAAGGTATGTTGAGATGAAAAACAGCTAACTCACATATCTCCAAGAAGCCTCTGAAAAATAAGAGGATGGGAAGTATCACAAAATCAAGGATCGTAACCTATAAGAAAATCGTAGAAGCAAGTGGTTGGTACCAAGACACATGGTACTCAGCAAGTAAACTTTTGAACACAAGCTAAGGAAATAAAATATGGGTACTTCTTACACTCTAACTGAACCTCCACAACTACAACCTACATAAAAACATCTCAATCTAAGAGTTCACTGTTTACACAACACCCAACTCAACAACAATCACTTTAACAAATTACTTATCATCAACAACAAACACAATATTCATTAATCAGAACTTTCATAAAAGGGCACTCACGATATCAGCAAAGCACAAGACTAAGTTCATCAAATATCAAGTACTTCAACCACTAATAAAACTCAAAATCTTAAAGAATGAGGGATGCCATGGGATGCAATGCAATATGATACCATGAAATGATATGCCTCAGAATACCAAGTACTCTCTCAATCGTATATACACTATATTCTCGACTCATGACCCATGGGGCACTCGCAAGGTCCATATACCGACACGAATGATCTTCATGTGTCTGTGTGGATAATCTCAACGCACTATCATAAATCAAACAAATTCTACACGGACAATCTTCACGTAACGTGCCCAAGTTATAATCTTAACATCTCACCATTTCCAGCACGGACGATCTTTATGTGCCCAACTTATACTCAAGCTCATCTTAATGCATGGGCACAATATGATTTCAATAAAAGGGATGATGCATTTCAATCAAATATTGATATGATATGTAATTACCTCATCTATCACAAGTATACAGATTCAATAAAGAGCATTACCACACATAATAAGTTTAATCAATAATATATCAACTAATTTCATATGTTTTGGCATTCTTGAATTACAATCCGCATTATTTAGTAATAAATTTTTCCTATAACACTGGTACTCATACCAATGCTCGTCAAACCATTGGTACAAGACCCACATCCTTCACCCTTACCTATGCTATATTCAATTTTTAATTATTTTATTAGAAAAATATCCTTCAACGAAGTCATTCAAACAATTCTCAACACATCACACACAAACAATTAATAACATTGTCATTTATTATCCCTTTTCATTATTACAATTAATCAATATGGACAAGTCAACCCATCACCAAGTCTCATTACCCACAAAAACATATTACAAGAAAATACACAAATTTCATACAGTTAACAAGGGTTTAGAAATCTATTTGTCTCAAATGATCAAATAATTATTCTGGAACTTGAGCCTTCTTCTTTTGTTGAGCTTCCAAATTAATGTAATATATTCAAGTACATAGTCACAATAAAATTTTGATACTAACAATACCCATATGCTATATGAATAGCCTTGACCCAAAACTCAACCAAATCTATAATTAAGTTCCTAAATCTTAAGTTTAGAATTAAGTCTTAAATTCCTCACGTATCATAATATATAAGTATTCATACAATATGGTCGACCTAATATTTAATTACCTATCTCAATATACTAGAACTTAACTCATAATGTGATAATAATAAGAAATTAAGCCAAATTACAAATCATCCACTCAAAAAATGTGACCTCCGAGCCTAAATATCATTACACCCTCTCTGTATACCCAGAAAAATTCGTAAGTAGCATCCACATATTGCATACGGATCATTACATATCAATATCCACTAGAATAAATCTCACAATTTTCCCCAGGGACCCATGTTAAACAACTACAAATTTTCGCTTCAATTTATCATTAATGCTCAACCTATTAATATAATAATTGAAAAAGGGCCTAAAATAACCTTAAAGTATTGAAAATGGTATAAAATTACCCTCCATCCACCTATTGGCTCCAAAATGCCCTTCTCATCTACCTATTGGCTCCAAAATACCCTTGTCATACACCTTTGGGTTCAAAATTGACCACATATTTAATCTTTTTAAAATTAAACTCTTTAAATATTTTTTAAACTACTTGGCGTTCAACTATTGGTTATAGTTTAATTTATTAGTATAATTCATAAACGAATCCACTACTTACTCATTATAAACTAAACCCCACCAATTAATAATCCAATTATAATATCAAAATCGTCAGAAACACTACTAAAACACGATGAAATTATAGATTCCTAAAAAATGACATCCAAAATTATTCGAGTCCGAACTGAAGCCCCAATTAAATTTAGGTTGAGCCGCTTATTTAGGAGGACACTTTCAATAGAATTCTCTTTCAAGATTTAATTAGAAAGTTATGATTAAAAGTAAAGAAGTAATACATCCTGAATTAATTGATGCACTTTTTTTTAAATATAATTTTATAAATATTTATGATTTATTTTAAAACCTTTAATATATTATTTTGAAAAAAAATTTGCCTATGAAGTAACATTACATAATTGAGACGTAAGAATAATTAAGATGAACATAGTCAGACTTTGAAGTTTATCGGTAATTTTTGTTAGAAACTTGAATGTATGATAATTTACTTCTATAGATATTTTTACCTCAAATTTTTAAAAACACTCAATTGGAAGTAGCTTTTCTGTTGTTGCATTAATAATGTGACGAGTTTATTAATTTGGAGGGGTTTAATTAGAAATTGGTGGGTAGTGGATTGATTTATAAATTATACTAATAAGTTAAATTATAACAAATAGTTTAGCGCCACGTATTTAAAGAAATTAAATAGTTTAAATTTAAAACCATTAAATTCAATTTTGAACCAAAAGGTGGATGACAAGGATATTTTGGAGCCAATAGGTGGGCGGGAAGGGTATTTTGGATCCAATAGGTGGATAGAGGGTAATTTTGTACCATTTCCAATACTTTGAGAGTATTTTAGGCCTTTTTTCGTATAATAATAATATGATATATGCATATCTATTCAGTAATTAAACATCCCATAATCACTGGTCATAATTGCCCTAAAATATATCCCTCGGTTCTTGTCGACAGTGTGTCTAAACCTGACCTCAATTCAACAATTATCAAATAGAAATTTAATAGAACAGTAGATGTTTTTGGGACAATTTTCTATTAATCAACTGAATATAAGGAATTACAACTTGAAACAATGGAAAATGAATCTAAAGTTTAGAAGTTTCCATGGATGAGTCCTTAATCTGCAGAAGAAGAATGAGTGGGTTAGGAAGGAAGAAGAAGAAATGAGAGATATCATAGAGAAGAGAGAATAAGTGAGAAGATACTAATTATCCGTTAAGCCCCTCTTTCCTCTGCAAAGTTGGTTAAATCAACACGACTAGTGCTAGTTTGGCATTGATGATGTGGCTGCATCTCCACCCTCTAAACTCATTAATCTACATATAATCTGGACCATTGCTTCTAATTGGTAGTCATATCTACGTATTGGAAGTCAAGGTCATGACAATTCCCACCCCTCAAAACATCCTTTTCCTCAAGGATCAATAATAAAATCAAGAAACTTGTCCTTGATGAAATGATAATCTTCCCATGTAGCATCTTTAGGAAGTCACTATCTGCCACTAAAGAACAACCACTGGTCGAACTAAAATTTGACCATCCTTCTCAGTAATTGGTAGAATAGATTGCAACACCTCTCTAGCCCCTATCTTCTTTTTGAGAAGCGATACATGGAACATTGAATGGACTTTAGAAGTAGGTGGAAGATCTAGCTTATAGGCTACTGGTCCAATCCTTTCTAGAATCTTGTACAGGCCATATATTTGGAGCTAAGCTTCAAATTTCTTCGTACACTAGTGGAGGACTGAAGCTTGAGGTATACCATCTCACCAGGTTGAGACTCCTTTTTAGAACTATGAAGATCAACATAGTACTTCATTCTTTCTTGAGCTTTCAACAAATTGTCCTTAAGAATTTGTTGTATATGTTGCCTCTTCATGAACAAATCTTCAGTAGCAGGCACCACAATATCCATCATTGGTCCCATCGATAGTTGAGGAGGTGAGTACCCATACTAATCTTCAAAAGGGGTGCAATACGAGCTTGTGTGACAGTTGTTGTTGTACCACCACTCACCTAAGTGAAACCACTACTTCCACTGATGAGTTCTGTGACTAGTCATGCACCTCAAGTATTTTTTATACACCGATTAACCCTCTCTATTTTCCAATCTGCTTGAGGATGATATGAAGAACTATATAAGAGTTGTGTGCTACTCAATTTGAAAAGATCTTGCTAGAAAGTACTCAAAAATATCCTATCTCGATCAAGAATAATGAACTCAGGTGCACCACGAAAAGTGTGTACTCTCTTCCAAAATTTAGTTGCTACTTGCAGAGCTATGAAGGGTGGGATAGAGATATAAAATGATCACCTTTAGTGAGCATATTAACCATTACAATAATAACATCCTTTCTTGAGGATTTAGGAAAATTTCAATAAAATCCAAACTTATGTGTCTCCATGACTAATCAGGAATGGGCAAGGGTTGCAGCAAACCTTGATAGGGAACATTCTCATCCTTGCTCCTATGATTAACCTCAAACTGCACCATCATTTGTTTCATTGAAGGAAAATAGAGTAATATAGAAAAACTTTTGAAAGTTGCAAGTTGGCCTGAGTGCCCTCCTACGTTAGAAGAATAGAAGGTCCAGATCAATTGATGACAAAGAGGTCCATTAGAGCCCACATAAATCTTCCCCTTCCTTCGCAATACTCCTTAGTAGAATTGCCACAGATATGGACAATTAGTATTACTTTCAACTGTGTAATGAGCTCTACGGACATAGGATCTCCTTCATAGCTAGTTTCAACCCCTTGGGCCCACAATGGAACTGTTGCTCTAATATCATGGAATTGACCTTCTTCATGCAAGTGGTTTTCCTCTTGTAGGTTAGACATTATATTAGCTTCACTCAAGCTAACCCCTTCATATTGCCTTGAGAGTACATCAGACACTTTATTCTCTGCCCCTTTCTTATACTGGACTTCATAATCTAACCCCAACAATTTGGTCACACCACTTTGTTGCATTGTTGTAGTAACCTCTGTTCAAGAAAATACTTAAGGCTATGATGGTCAGTCTTGACCAGAAAATGCTTATATCAAAGGTAATGTCGCCACTTGTCTACTACATTCAATCGAGCTAAATATTCTTTCTCGTAGATGGAGTTATATCTATGCTTAATAGCCAATACCTTACTAAAATAGGATATTGGTCTTCCCCTTTGTAACAGCACAACTCTGAATCCTGAATGACATGCATCAGTCTCTACTAAAAATTCTTCATCATGAATTTGGTAATGCAAGCATTGGTGTGGCAGACATGACCTTTTTAATTGCCGCAACAGATTGATCAGCTTCCTCAATCCGCACAATAACATTCTTCTTCAACAAGTCAGATAGTAGTCTTATTATTCTTTCATAATTAGGTACATATTTTCTATAATATCCTGTTACACCAAGAAATCCCCTCAAAGCTTTCACAGTTCTAGGGGTAGGCCATTCTTCCATATCTTTAAGAACATGCCCTAAGTACTCTTTAGATTGACCAAAAGAGCACTTGGACCTTTTTGCATACAAGAAATGAAATAATAAGGTGTTGGACACCAACAGTAAATGCTCTACATGTGCAGACAATGATTTACTATAAATGAGAATATCATCAAAAACACAAAAACAAACTTCATGAGGTACAATTGAAAGAATTCGTTGGGGCCTAAAAGGTAACGGAAACTTTGGTAATCCCAAAGGGCATACCTTAAACTCATAATGACCTATGTGAGTTATGAATGTCGTTTTGTACACATTTTTAACCTTCATTCTTATTTGATGATAACCCTCTCTGAGATCAATTTTGGAAAAGACAATGGTCCATATAGCTCATCTAAAAGGTCATCAATGACGGGAATTGGGTACTTATCCTCACTTTGATCTCATTCAATCCTCTGTAGTCTCACAAAACCGCAAGGTGCAATCCTTTTACTTAACCAATAGAGCTGGTGAGGAAAAGGGAGATTAGTTATGACTAATAATCCCATTAGTAAGCATCTTCGAAACATGATTTTATAATTCCTCCTTTTGGTAGTGATTGTATCTATAAGGTCTTAGACTAACTGGTGAGGCTCCAGGAATTAAGTTAATACCATGGTCCAGTTGTCTCACTGGTGGTAAAGACTGGCTCAGCAAATATGGACTAGTACTTGTCCAACACTTCTTGTATATGGCATCCACCTGCTTTTACTCATTGTAAGACTATGCTCCTAGCATGAATAAATTAGCCATCAAGTTTTGATCCTTCTTGATCAGCCATCCCATGACACTACCAATGATCATACTCAAACTATTTTCACCTATAAAAACATGTAGAATGGTTTTGTTTCCATTTCTACCAATTGTAACACACTTTTTTTCATGATCGAACTTGGTAGGATTATTTCTCTTATTCCAATCATTTCCTAGCACTAGATCATATCCTCCTTAGTTGATGATTCTTAGATCCTCCTTGAGGCTTTTACATTCATTTTCCAATTAAAACAAGGGCAACTAATATGACACGTCACATAATTTCCATCAGCAACAATGACCAAATGCGGGATTCTCAGCCACATAACCAGTGTTATCAACTGCTTGTTCGTCTATGATATGAGTGCTATCAGAATCGATCAACACCGCTAATGCCCTATTCCCTACAGACCCTTTGACCAACATAAAATTTACTCCTAGGATACTACCAAATAATACCCTCAAACATGTGTCCTTCATAACCTTCTGTTGTATCTCTCATTCAATGATAAGATCTGGTGGTTCAGGTACTTCTTCATCACCCCTCATGCAATTCAACTGCTCAGCCTTGCGGTTATGTCCTAGGTAGTACTTCTCTCCGCACCTGAAACATAACTTGTTGCTCTTTCTATATTCATAAACTTCTTGGGTTAACCTAAAAAGTGTTTGGTCTAGGTTTGTTCACAACAATAGGTTTGAAGTAGTTTCTGTTAGAACAAAAATACTCAAGAAACTGATTTGAAAAAACAAAAATAGAGTGAACTTATGAAATTCCTTGTATATATTAATCTATAGAAAGTCTGAATTTATACAAGGAAAAACATAAACATTAAAATTAAATAAGAACATGTGCCGCTAATTACCATAAAATGGGCCACTAACTGCCATAATAGGGACACTAACTTCAGAAAGTTGACCAACTAAAGTTGCCTAAGTCTAGCTAGAAAATAGGAAACACTAAACGAAAATAAGTAAAAACCTGTGTAACACTCCTCCTTGGCTTCTTTGCCTAAAATCTTCAAACCTTTCCTTTGGAAATGACTTGGTGAAAATGTCAGTTTGTTGGTTCTCAGATGAACAATGAACAAGCAACACTTCATTAAATTATTGGACTTTTCTGATAAAATAAAACTTGATCTTGATATGCTTAGTTCGACCATGAAAAACTAGATTTTTTTAGATTTAAATTGTTGAACAGTTGTCACACATGATCTTGGTAGCTTCTGCTTGTTCATGGCCTAAGTCCTTCATCATCTTCCTTAGCCAGATAGCTTGATTCACAACAGATGTAGCAGCTATGTACTCAGCTTCTGCTGTTGATTGAGCTGTAGTTTCTTGTTTTTTAGAGCTCCAACTAAAACAATTTGTCCCAAACAGAAAAGATATCTAAAGTTGTTTTTGGAATCATCAACTCCACCAACCCTATCACTATTAGAGTACCCGATCAGGTTCATAGTTACTTCGGTAGATGTTGAGAAAAAATTACAAACTTGTTGGTTCCTTTAATATACCTTAACACTCTTTTAGCCGCTGTGAGGTGTGTGTCTCTAGGAGAATGCATTTTAGATATAGAAGTTTGCCAATTAAGCTTCTATGCAAACTATCGTCCACTTCTTCGGAATCCTCTTCCTTTCCAAGATTCACACCAGTATATATTGGAGTACTCACAGGTTTGCAGTCTTGCATTTTGAACCTGTTTAGAATATCCAAAATGTATTTTAGCTAGCATATGAAAATTCCTTCACTGGACTGCAACACTTCCATGTCGAGAAAGTACGTCATGACTCTAAGATCAGTCATTTCAAATATTTTCTCCATTTCATCCTTCAACCTTTGGATTAGTTCAATTTTGCTTTCTGTCACAAGCATGCCATCCACATAAATTGATACAATTAAGGAATCCTCAGCAGCATTGAATTTCACATACAAAGTAGCTTCACTTGACTTCTACTAAAGCCAAGTTGGATGAGATGATTGTCCATCCTCTCATACCATGCCCTTGGAGCTTGTTTTAGGCCATACAAGGCCTTTCTTAAGAGATAAACTTGATACTCTTTTTTGGGAGTTGAGAAACCATCAGGTTTCTCTATATAGATCTCTTCAGCAAGAAAACATTCAAGAAAGCCGATTTGACATCAAGTTGATGAATATGCCAGGAACTATGAGATGCAAATGCAAGTTTAAGCTTGATTGTGTCATACCTTGCTACAGGGGCAAACATTTCCTGGTAATCCACACCATATTGTTGTGCGTATCCCTTCACCACCAATCTAGCCTTATGTTTGCAAACTGTTCCATCAGGATTGAGTTTTGTCTTGAAAAACCATTTTACACCAATCACCTTGCAATTTCGAGGTCTATCAATAAGCTTCCAGGTTCCGTTCTTCTCGATCACGTCTATTTCTTCTTGGATAGCTCTCCTCCATGCCTGAGAGTCTTTTGCTTCAGCATAGCTTGTTGGTTCAGAGGTAACCAAGTTACACCGTTAATAGACATCTTTTAAGGATCGAGTTCCCCTCACTGGTACATCATCCACTAGTTCATCTTCTGAAAGTTGAGGTTGCTCTATTGAAAATAAATCAGAATAAGAGGTCTTCTGATTTTTCCAATCCCAGCCTGCTGCTTCATCAAAATTCACTTTTCGGCTGAGAATTAGTTTGTCTGATTTCAAACAGAAAATCCTTTAACCTTTGGATGAACTATAGCCCATAAATATGCCTTTATGAGCCTTGTTGTCCAGCTTACTCCTTTCTGTTTCTGGAACTTGATAATAACATATACACCCAAAGATTCTGAGATGGTGTACCGATGGTTTGTTCCCACACCATGCTTCATATGTAGTCATGTCCTACAAGGCCTTAGTAGGCAATTTGTTCAACAAATATACAGAGGTATTGACTAAATCAGCCCAAATCTAATTTGGGATCTTTCTTTTGAGCAAAAGACATCTGGTCATCTCCATTACTGTCTTGTTCTTCCTTTTAAACACGCCATTTTGTTGTGGAGTGTATGGTAATGTCAATTGGCGTTCAATACATGCGTTATTACAAAACTCCACAAATTTAGAAGAAGAATATCTAAGATTACATTGATTTTCTACAAAAGCTTTAAATTGTTTAAAAACATAAAGACTTCACTCTTCAGTCTTATGAAATAAACCCAACACATTCTAGTGTAGTTATCAATAAAGAGGAGAAAGTATTTGTTACCACTCAACGAAATTGTTTTCATTGGGCCGCAAACATTCGTATGAATGAGCTAAAGTTTCTGGTTAGCTTTCCGTACTTGATTTGCTTGAAATGACAATTTTGTTTGCTTTCCCTGTTGGCAAGTTTCACAAACTTGAGCATTAGAAAGAAATTCAGGCATATTTTTCACTAGCTCCGTTTTTTCATCTCCACAACGCTTCTCATATTGAAGTGACTAAACCTTTTGTGTCATAGGTTTGTACATGTTTGTGAAGCCTACTCAGTTATTTTCTCCCAATCAACTGAAAAACATTTTGTTGCTCATATTCATAAAATAACTTTACTCCACAAGGGTCAGAAACAACACATTCACAATTCTTAAAAAGCGGAGAATAATTATTTTCAAGCATTTTTCCAACACTGAAATTTTTTTGACTCATATTAGGTGTGTACAAAACATCAGGAATAGTTTTGATACCTGATATTGTTGAGATAGGCGTTGTAGCTCTGCCTTTGACTTCTACTGCCTCATCGTTTCCCACTTTTACTTTAGATTTGTAAGTGTCATCGAGGAATTTGAACAGTTCAACATCATTGCACAAGTGATGTGTGCAATCACTGTCAAGAAGCCATGAATCAGAGGATTCACTTATTGAAAAGTAGAAACTGCAAAGAGTTGCTCCTCATGTGCATCGGCAGCTTCTGCTTTTTGTGCTTGCAAAGCACCAGAGGCCTTTGCTCTTGATTTGCAGACCTTGGATATGTGTCGCCTCTGCTTACAGTTGCAGCATATAGTATCAAATCTCCACCAACAATACTTCTCCAAATGTTTATTTCTTTTACAATGTTTGCAAGGAGGGAAGTTCTGCTTCACATCTCCAGTGTTGTTTCCTCCATCATGCTTGCCCTTATTCTTTTGGTGGAATGGTTGCTTTCCTTGTTGCTTTTGTACAGAGAAAGCTCCTTTACTGACTTTTCCCGTCTCATATTCCTCCTTTAGTCTTGTGCACGAAGAGCACTCATTAGTTCACCTAATGAAAGTTTGCCTAGGTCTTTGGATTCTTCAAGAGAGGAAATCTTAGATTCAAACCTCTCAGAAAGAGTCACAAGAACTTTTTCCACAATTCGTTTTTTTGTAAACTCTTCGCTAAGAATTCTAATGTTATTAACAATTAAGGAGATTCGATCAGCATGATTACTGATAGTTTCATCCTCCTGCATATTCAACACTTGCATTTGACGCATTCTATCGCTGCATTGATATTGACACATTCTATCGCTGCATTGATATTGACGCATTCTATCACTGCCTTGATATTCTTCTTTCAACCTATCCCAAAACTCTTTTGCTGTTTTGCAAGCCATGATTCTGTAAAATACAGAATCTTCCACAGCATTCTACATAAGCAACTTGGCTTTAGATTTTGTTTGCCCTCTCTTCGTTGTTGGATTTGATCTGAGCCAAGGTAGGATTTGATGATAGAGCAGCAAGTGGTTTATCTTCCGTCACAGTTTCCCAAAGTTCATAGGCTTCCAAAGAAGCTTGCATCTTCATAGACCATATTTGGTAATTTTCACCAGTGAAAGTGAATGGTGGATTTAAAGGTAGGTTGTTGGATGTCATTTGTTTTATAGCTTAAAACTTTTTTGTCCAGTAAGATCAACTAGAGGCTCTGATGCCACTATTAGAACAAAAAAACTCAAGAAACTTATTTGAAAAAATAAAAATAGAGTGGACTTATGAAATTCCTTGTGTATATTAATCTGCAGAAAGTTTGAATTTATACAAGGAAAAAACATAAACATTAAAATTAAATAAGAACATGTGCCACTAACTACCATAAAAGGGGCCACTAACAGCCATAATGGGGATACTAACTTCAGAAAGTTGAGTAACTAAAGTTGACTACGTCTAACTAAAAAATAGGAAGCACTAAATTGAAATAAGTAAAAACAGTAAAAATAATAATAAGCTGGAAAAAAATGTCAATTGTCTAACATTTTGAACCACCGGCAACCGTAGTAATTAGATTACTTCCCATAACATTCTTTGTAGAGCTAGACTCTCCCACCGAATAGAAAGTTTTAGCCCTTCTTCTTCTTCATCACTTCTATTGCTTTCTCCTGTAGCCTAGCCTGCTCTATAGTTGCTTTTAATGTTACCAACTTAAACATTTTGACCCCAAACTTAATTTCCTCTTTCAAAGACCCAATAAAACTTGACAGAAAATGAGCCTCATTCAAGGCTGAATTCCTTATTATCATATGGGCTTTCAAGTCTTCAAACTTGCCAAGGAATTCATCTACAGTTCCTGTTTGAGATAGCTTATTAAATTCCTCGACTGTATCTTCAACCACTGTTTCCCCAAATCACACACATAGTTCCTCCTTAAATTCAGTAACTACTTTTCTATCAAAAACTAGTGAATTATATCAAGTCCATTCAAATAGAGTGCAGCTCCCTCTACCTTCTGATTATCAACAATTCTATATAGGTTAAAATATTTTTCACACTTACGCAACCATACCTTAGGTTTGTTCCCTTCGAAGCTTGGTAGTTCCCGTTTAGGAAGTGGAATAGGCAATCAAGCCCTACTTTCCTGATGCTCTTCAGTCAGACCATCTTCAGGAGAGCTGACTGATGCTCTTTTTAGAGATTCCAAACGATCCAAAAATAGCTCCAAAGTTCACTTGATTCCAGTTTGAGTCTTTTGAGTTCTTTGCAGTTCATAGTGAGATCTCCCAAAATTTTATCATGACGAAGCAACTTATCATCTAACAGCTTCATCCTGGTCCCTTCAACCATTTTCACCTTCATAAATTGAGTGTAACCTTGCCCTGATACTAATTACTAAAACCTCACCTCAATTCAACAATTATAAAATAGAAATTTAATAGAACAATAGAAGTTTTTTGGACAATTTTCTATTAATCAACTGAACGTAAGGAATTACAACTTGAAACAATGGAAAATGAATCTAAAGTTTGGAAGTATCAATAGATGAGTCCTTAATTTGTAGAAGAAGAATGAGTGGGATTAGGAAGGAAGAAGATTAAAGGAGAAATCTGAGAGAAGAGAGAATAAGTCAGAAGATGCCCATTATCCGTTAAGCCCCTTTTTCCTCTGCACAGTTGGTTAAATCAACGTGACTTATGCTAGTTTGGCACTGATAACGTGGTTGCATCTCCACCCTCTAATCTCATTAATCTACGTCTAATTTGGATTGTTGCTTCTACCCGATAGTTATAACTACTTATTGAAAGCCAAGGTCATGACACAGTGACCCATAAAACAATGTACAACCATTAGTTTGAAACACCAATATTGGAAAAACATTAAAACCAACTCGTTACACCCCAACATATAATAATAATAATTTGTGCTAATACATCCTAGGTCACCACATAAATTGGAGCACCTTAAGTATGTATATTTTACCTCAAATAGTTTTGTTTTCTTGTCGAAGCAATGTTGTTCCCAATGCCAATCGTGTGGGGAGGTTGCATATAATTCATACAATTTTAAAAAAGAATATCAAACCCTATTTTACTTATATCAATATATGGGTCATATAGTATTGGTTATGAAGAAAATAAGGACTTAGACCACTAGTCATAAATAAAAAAAAATGCCCATCAAGTAAATAATTATTGTTATCGAATAGTTTAAAATTTCTAAACTAACTTCACCGACTGATTAAATATGACTCCAGAAAACTATCAGAAGGTGTAAAATGGTAATTTTATAAAAGTTTTCGAAAATGACCTTTCAGGTCATTACATATTTTACTTTTAGTTAGAGCTCATATTTGAACTAAGGTAATATTGGTGCACTCAAAACGTTTAAATCCTGGGTTTCGTTTTTGCCTTTAAAAGGGTGCACATTCTCTATATCACATCAACTTTTATGATGTATTTATTGCATTTTAAAGTAGTTTAGGGATGTAATAGTGCACTAGTTAAGTTAAGATGTATTGTTCAAATTTCGATTATAGTTTAAGGGTACTCATGCATTATACCTATAACTTATTTTTATAAAAAAAAATCTTATTTTTGAAATTATTTTAGAATGAATTGAGATGTACAATAAAATGAAAAGAAAGAGAAGTTTTATATTTGACTAGAAATCTGTATTTTATTAAATTTTAAGTCATATCAAATGTAAATATCATTAGCAAAAACAACTCTACATTTTCCTCTCCCTTCAAAATCCACGTTCGCTAGGTATTCAACTATTCATCCTTTAATATCTAAAAACATACACATTATAAATTTAGATATGTTCAAAGAATAAATGAAAAGATTTTTTTTATTATATTTTACCATATGATCTAACAATATTTTTTTTTGTTCATAATCATAATTATTAATCAGAATAATAAATCCTAACCAACAATTTTTTTCCTTTATTTTTTAAAAATTAAATTTTAAAATATTCTCAAAAGTATTGATATTTTTAGTTTCTATTGATATATTCACTTTCCTAATATGATATTATAAATTCTTTCTTATTTAATACAACTATATCTATAATTTAAATAAGGGATAAAAATAAATGCCCTTGACCGTAAGGGAAATGACTCAAAAATATCCTTTTTCTTCTACCTATGGATTAAAAATGTCCTTCCAGCACCGATCCACCTATTTGGATTAAAAAAATGTCCTTAAATTTAAGTCTAAAGTTACCACTCCTTTTAAGCTGATGTATCATACATAAATTAATTTTTTTTTCATTAAATATGTGACATTACTTTAATTGATCCACATCTTATTGTTTAGATGCCTTTTAAATAGTTACTTATTGTGATTCATAATACGTCTTATGTAATTTTCAGATAATAGTATGGTATTCCCTCTTAACACAAGTTCTTGATTGATTTATCAAGATGGGGTTTATAAGACATTGAAGAGAAAGATGTGGAACAAGCTTCAATTGAGCAGTGGTTTAAGCTTGAGCATCTCAGCCAAGAACATCAAAAGAGGCAACAGGGAAAAGAAAAAGATATACTAAAAGCATGACTGTAAGAGGACTGCAGCAATATAAGTAGTCCTAACTATGGAATTCATTTTAAAAGTTCAGCCTCGAAAATTTTCCTGATAGCCAAAGTAATCTCACGTAAATCAGTGATTCATGAAGATTTGGAAACGAAGGCAAGAATTTGAGAAGAGAGAGCTTCCGCATCATCCTATAACAGTTAAACGCCTTCCTTTGTAGTGGACATGGCTATGCTCATGATCAGACTTGCATTTAAGCCGTCTTCATTTTGGGCTTCAATCAAACACTAAATGCTTATTAAATTCTCAGGCTGCAAAATTGAATTGATGACTTACGTCGTCAACCACCTAGGCTTGACTTGTTACTTTTTTCCTGACTATTCTTTTTCTCCGAGCCTTAGGCACTGGTGTTTCCCCTTCAGAAGCTATGCCAGTCTGACCCTGTTTGATCCCAAGAAGCCCAAGCCCTGAAACTATGGCATTCTTGGACAAGAACCATTTTGAAGAAGGCTGATCAAGACCCTCAGTGGGTCTACTATAAGCCTTCAAGACATCATCTGAATGGGCCAGTGGATCCACCTCCACACCGAGCCACGCTAGTCTTGATGCCTCTCCTACTCGAACATTCAAGACCCTGCATACATTTGACTGATTATTAAGCAGTAAAAATCAAATCCAATGAGCACCAAAATTAACCCTCTTTATTCTAAAGCACTGCATCCTTCTAACCTTCAGTACTTGGGATGACAGAAAATACGTTTCTATAATCAACGCTAATCTAGTTTAACAGACACTAAGATGGTTCAGACTGACATTTAAGCACTATCGGAAGAATCAACAAATACAATAAGTGTGAATCAAAAACGGCATTGCTCTTCTACAGCAACTACTTATTGTAGGTCCTAAAGCATTAAGTTTTTTCCCAGAAACCCAACGAAGCAAATTTAGACTAGCTGTTCCTGCATGGAACACGCTCCTATTTTTCCACTCAAAAAATTATATCATGCCCTTTTTCCTTTTATCATTATTCATTTGTGTTAAGGCTGCAAAAAGAATCCTATTCTCTCTAAAAAGACTTTGCATATGCTACCACCATTCAAACAGTTAGTAAGCTTAGATGTACTACTAAACGTGAACTTTAGTTGATGGATGAAGTTTGCACTTGCTGAAAAAAGAAGAAAAAAAACTTGCATTACTGACAGTGTACCTCAGGGCAGTGCTGAAGAAGAGAGCCACTCCAATAACATCAAAGTGGTTAACTACAGCTCTGTCAAATCCACACAATAGCTGATAACGCAGGTTTGCATAAAGACCAAGGAAGGCACCATAACCAAGGGCATTACTGCTCACAGATGGTACTGTCACCGACAACCTAGCAAAGAGTAGTAGCAAAAGAGATTTAGACAAGAACATAAGGTGTTAATCAGTGGTATTTTACCTTTATATAAAATTAAATGGGAAATTGAATTGCCAAGTATGCCAACCAATATCTACCTTCCCTTCTTTCTAGTGACAACAAGATTCGATACAGCCCCTTGGAAAGCCCCTGTAGTGAGACCAACCAAACAGAGCTCTGCAGCCTTATAGAAAAAGGACTGAATTCTCTTTTGCAAGTCGAATTCTCTTAGTGGATAACTCTTTTCAAAGACATTGTTTGGAAGCTTCTGTAATGTGTTTTGCAAATCAAACTGGAATGTGTTCCCATATGAACGACAAGGAGCAAGCGACCAAACAACAATAGCATTGCAAGCCGTTACAGTAAGCACATTAAGAAGGGCAAGATCCCACTCCTGCTTTATCCTAGAAAGAAAAAAAGAATTTGTTTAATATCCTGCATGCACTTTTTAATGAGTTTTATCTCCTTTAACTGAATAAGTATACCTCTCCTTACGGTTTTTGATCTCCCACCAAACTGAGCAACCAATTGTACTGGCTTGCTCTAGAAGCAGTTTGTATAAAAATACCGGATCTGCAATCATCCTGTGTTACATATTCATAGAAAATCAGGCAATTAGAAGCATCAATCTAAATCTGGATAACTTTTTGAATGGCTATGACATTTATAGAAAGAAAAGATTTATTCACTACCAGCATATCAAAAACATGGAGGTGCCAAAGAAATACCCTGAGTGTACCAAAATTAGGGTAAGAAGGGTGAGGTTTTGGATGTTCAGACATGCCTCTGCTATTACACCAGTAGCTTCCCATATAAAGCTAAAGCTTGTCTCAAGCAATTATTTTTTCCTGAGATCTTTTGCGAGCTTAGTTTCTGCATGGGAAATTTTAGTAGCTCCATTGGTTGGCCACCTGAACTTTCACTTTGTTGGTGAGGATTCGATTCCCATCTTGTTATCCCCTCTAACATTTTTGCTTCCCCAACCCCCGTTTAAAAAAATAAATTAGAAGAGCTCAGTCCTTACGCAGATATCTATTCTTCTCCCTTTTCTCTCTCTTCCACACAAAATAACAAATTGTTGAACCAAATTTGATTATTAATTCCCCATAAATTCAACAACAATAATCAAGGAGAAGAAAATTATCCTAATAGAAGTTTCTTGGAACAGAAGCAATCCCGGAGGAGATGAGCAGGACTTCCACAGCTCAGTGTAAGTTTGAGATTGCAAATGACAGAACTTCATTAAAATGGGCTCATTCCTGCCATGTTAACAGATAACAACAACACAATATCCAGTGCAATCCAATAGGTGGGATACGCAAACCTTATCTCAAACTCGTAGAGATAGAGAATTTTTTTGGAAGACCCTCAGCAGCTGAAGTAACGCATATCGAAGCATATGAAAAAGAACACACAGAAGTAGAGAAGACGACTAAAGTTAGACATATAACAATGCAACTACACAACTATTTTGTCTCTATTTATTTTGGTTCTTAAAAAAACATTGTGGGTGCTCACTTCAATGAAGCGAGCGGTTCACTTAAAGTGTGAAGCAGAGCCTTGTATCCTTTTTACGCTAAATGTTTCTGTGAAACCTGCTACCACCAAGCCTATCCCCAGGAAAATGAGACAGCGCTCACTACTATCCTAATGCACAGCCTCCATATTCTCTTATCTAAGGTCATGCCCTCAATTAGTTAAAGATGTGCCATGTCTGTCTAATCACCTCTATCCAATACTTCTTTGGCCAACCTCTACCTCTCCTTAAACCCACCAGTGCCAACCTCTCACAATGAGGCTCCACAAGGCATTAGGGCATTTTCTTTTCACATGCCTGAACCTTCTCAGTCTTGCTTCCCTCATC